CCTGAGTCCGCGGGTTAGAGACCCGCCTGGGCAGCGAGACCTCATCTCTACAATAAATCAAAAATCAGCCGGGCGTGGTGGCGCATGCCTGTAATTCCGGCTACTCGGAAGGCTGAGGCGGAAGGATCTCCGGAGCCCAGCAGGTCGAGGCTGCGGTGGCTGAAAGCAGCCACTGCACTCCAGTCTGGGCGACAGAGTGAGACTCCAACTCTAAAAACAAAACAAAGCAAAAGCAAAAACAAAAAGACTATGCTGCAAGATAAAACATGATATCAGCCAGAATACTGACTTCCAAGTCAGGTGAATATACCATGAGATATTTATGTAGCGCCAACTTGATTTTAAACACCTTTATTGGCTTTTAAAATTTGAAAGTTCTGTACTTGAAATACTTGTCAATGAGTGCAGTCAAGCATAAACCAGCTTTATTCTGTATTTTACAAAGCTAAGACTCACATCTGTGCTTTGACCTAAATTTTTAAAAAAGGAAATGAAAATTCAATATGAAAATAAGCAACGAGAAAGTAACTTTCTCCAAAACAAAACCAGTGAAGTCTTAAATATTATTAAAAATGCACATATACCTCATCAACAAGGGTAGCTTCATAATGAACATTTGTATATCTAACCCTGAATTGTACCCCACATCTTTAAAATAAAGAAAAAAATATATACAAGCCCTACTACACACCTAAAAATTGGTTTAGTTTAGAAAAATATACACTTTACTGGAGTTACTTTTTTTTCTTTTTTTTTTTTTGAGTTGGAGTCTCACTCTGTCGCCCAGACTGGAGTGCAGTGGCCGCTCCCGGCCACCACAGCCTCAACCTGCTGGGCTCCAGTGATCCTTCCGCCTCAGCCTTCCAAGTATCTGGAACTAGGTGCGCGTTACCACGCCCGGCTGATTTTTTGATTTATTGTAGAGATGAGGTCTCGCTGCCCAGGTGGGTCTTGAACCCATGGGCTCAGGCAATCCACTCACCTCATCCTCCCAAAGGCGGGGGATTACAGACTGAGCCACCGAGCCCGGCTGCTGGAGTTACTTTTTAAAAATTAAAATCCACATTCAAAGTTAAAATTTCAAATACCAAAAGGAAAAAAAAAAAAAAAAGGAACTCTCCTCTCCTCAGAGGCAGCTTTTATTAAAAATCTTTATGGGCCAGGCTCAGTGGCTCAGCCTGTAATCCCAGCACTTTGGATTGCCAGAGCCTGCGGGTTCAAGACCCACCCAGGCAACCTGGCGAGACTTTGTCTCTACAATCAAAAATCAAAAATTAGCAGGGCATGGTAGCGTGTGCCTGTAGTTCTACCTACTTGGAAGGCAGAGGCAGAAGGATCACCGGACCCCAACAGGTCAAGACTGCAGTGGCTAGGAGTATGCCACTGTACTCCAGTCTGGGTGACAAAGTGAGACTCCACCTCAAAAAAAACCCCTTTATGTAGGTCAGGCATGATGGCTCGCATCTGTAATTCCAGTGGTTTGGGAGGCCAAGGGGGTAGAATTGCTTGAACCCAGGAGTTCAAGATGAGCCTAGACAACATATAGAGATGTTGTCTCTACAAAAAAAACAAAACTAGACAGTCCCAGCTAGTTGAGGCTAAGGCAGGAGGACTGCTTGAGCCCAGGAGGTCAAGACTGTACTGAGCTACAATCACACCAGTGCACTTCAGCATGGGTGACAGAGTAAGACCCTGTCTCAAAAAAAAAATGGCTTTGAATTTGCCCAAACTGTTCCTTAACCCCAAGGCAGGATCTACTGACATCTGACTAACTAACTAAAGATAAAAACAACCACGTATATGATGGGCACTTGCTGTGTAGACCATAACAAGAATACGCACATAAACTCTCACCAAAAAACCTTTATTTAGAGGCCTGCACTAGTAGCTATTTAAGAAGGTTGGCTGGCATGGTGGCTCATGCCTATAGTCCTACCACTTTGAGAGACTACTTGAGCCGAGGAGTTTGAGACCAGACTAGGCAACATAGCAAAAAAAAAAAAAAAAAATCAAAAAATTAGCCCGGTTTGGCAGCATGCACCTGTAGTCTCTGGTACTCAGAGGCTGAGAAAGGAGGATCAATTGAGCCCAAGAATTCAAGGTTGCAGTGAGTCGTGATCATGCCACTGCATTTCAGCCTGGGCAACAGAGTGAGACTTCAACTCAAAAAATAAAAGTAAAGTTTTACAACCTTAAAAAATCCTGAGAGGATTGCTTGAGTCCAGGAGTTCAGGACTAGCTGGGCAACTTGGTGAGACCCTGC